TGGAATGAAACGTAAAACTGAGGTCTACTGAAGTTGTTCTCAGCCCTTCCTCAGAGAAACTCCTCTTTTTCTCCTTTTCAGTTTTATGACTTGTGTGAGCTCTTCAGAACAGGCGGCCAGGTTCCGGACACAAACTACATTTTTATGGTAAGATCCTTTGCAGGAAATATCACTTTGTGTATCGGGCAGGTTATCACGTTGTTGATTTGCAGCTTTCGTTTCTCAGAGTCCTTTTTGTCCTGTTTTAACTGCGTGTCCGAAGTGAGCTGCTTCTGTGGAGGGTTAACCGAAAAGAGTTGTTGGTTTTATATGCACTGAAAAGTAACTGTTTCCACTTACCATTTAAAGTGAAACCTCGGTGATCTTGCATCTTCTGGCAAAGCTTATGCTGTGTTTACTGACATCAGTGTCTAACAACTGATCTTGCCAGCTCATTATCATGTGAGATCTCATAACAGAAAGGTGGCCTGCTTTAAGTGTTAGAAAAGGAATCCCAGTATTTCTGTTTCATCTGTTATGCTGTACTTCACGTGATAGAAAGATGCTAAAATGCTGTACTTATGGTGTTGACATATTTTGTGTAATAAAAAAAAAAAGATTAAGCATCTTTTTATGTTATTGATTATTTTTGGTGTTTGCCATCCAGTGCTGAAGTTGTATTTTGTCGATTCAATAGACAGGGGGAAGGATCACATTTCCTCCTGCTGTTCAGCGGGGAGGTTTCTCTTTAGTTCTGCCTTCTGCTGTTGTGGCAGTCTGAGCTGCCTGACTGGGTGGCCCAGGTCTCATGGCATGCCTTCCTATTGCAGGGCGACTTCGTAGACCGGGGATATTATAGCCTGGAGACCTTCACCTACCTCTTAGCCTTAAAAGCCAAGTGGCCTGACCGCATCACGCTGTTGCGAGGAAACCACGAGAGCCGACAGATCACCCAGGTGTACGGCTTCTATGGTAAGGGATGCGTTTTTAATCCTTAAACAAGAAACTCCAATATGAACAAAATACATTAGCTGAGGGATTGCAGGCATGGGTAGGAATTCCAGACCCGGATTGCTAGCCATTGTAACTTTGTAGCTGCTCACAGTAAGCACATTGTCAGAGGACATCTTAAGCACGGAAGATTCAAAAGAAGCTGAGCGCATTATTTGATTACATATTGCTATGTTATTTCTGTGGAACCATTATGAAATAACTGCAGATGACCAAGTGTAGTTAAATGAAGGTCATTAAAATGAGATTTAAAGTAATGTAACTTAGTTTGTAGATGTGCATCAGGAGCCATTGCTTTATTCTGTAAAACATTTTCACGAGACAAAATTCGGCATTTCTTCAGATAGTAATTATGACATTATTTTGAACCTCCTTTTTTCCCCCTTCCTGTTCACTAAATCCTTTGTACGCTAGATCCGGCAAAAATTATACTTGCAGTCCAAATACACTTCAGTGAGTTTTTTACAGGTTTCCTTCAGGTCTTTTATTACCAGTTGTCTTGTATTTTGCTCTACATCTTACTTTGATGAGTACCCTGGTCTCTGGAGCTGTAAAGCTCTAGTTCTGAGATACCCTGTGCCTCACCTAGACCAACATTGGTAGCATCCAGAGCGAAGCCATAGATTTTTTTTAAATGGGATATTCTTCTCTTTTTTCTTTTTGCAGACGAGTGCCAAACCAAGTATGGAAATGCAAATGCCTGGCGATACTGCACTAAAGTGTTTGACATGCTTACCGTAGCAGCTGTGAGTGCACCTCTGTTGTCATGTAACTCCAGGCTAGGCTCCTTCTGTCCACGCAGAAATCACCACCATGCAAACGGTTTCTTTCAGTTTCCAAATTGAAATAAATCCTTTTTTTTTCCCCAAAAATTAAAAAGCACTTCTAATTCATAACTAGCGCCATAATGTTTGATTTTTGCAGTGTAATAGGGGCAAGTGACAATAACAGTGGAGTGGGTTACCTCCTGTCATTAAATGAACACTATTCTGATTTAACACGTTCTGGCGTATTACATTCCAACTCGCCGTGGTTTGAGTTTGATATGAAGTGTCAGTAATAATGAGGTTCTGATGCCAAAACCCAGCTCTGCGGCCCCTGATGTGTGCTCTGTCTGTCTCGTGTCCAGCTGATAGACGAACAGATCCTGTGCGTCCACGGGGGCCTTTCTCCTGACATCAAGACCCTGGATCAGATCCGCACCATCGAGCGCAACCAGGAGATCCCCCACAAGGGGGCGTTCTGCGATCTGGTGTGGTCGGACCCCGAGGATGTGGACACGTGGGCCATCAGCCCCCGGGGAGCAGGCTGGCTGTTCGGGGCCAAGGTCACTAATGAGGTCAGCGGCCGTACCTTTCATCTCTCCTTCCTTTACAGATCGCACTGCGGCAGTGGTTACTACGGTTTTACTGTATGTGGAAGACTTGGGCATATAGTAAGGTCCCTCAGCTTAGTTCAGGGAAATACGGGTCATATAGCGCACCCAGAATTAATGTAATTCAATTTATTCATTTCAAATATGCTTAACCTAAGGGAGACATTGCATACTACGTAAACCTCTGTTCTGGCAAAAATAATATTTTACAGTTAATGGAGATGACGAATGTGCACCTACATTCATCCAACACTTCTCTCTTCGAATGCTTGTTGGCTGATTTTTGTTTTAGCTGCAGCCAAGCTTGTCTTCTAGCATGTTGTTCACTGCACAAAGACACTTTTGCTCCACTGACGGCGCGACCCCTGAATCCTGTTTCAGGATGTGCTTTTGGATTGTCCTTGGGGCTGTGAAACTGGGAAGTGATAGGAAGGCCTGAAAAGACCTCCTGGAGACCTGCGGCACTTGCGTTGCGCTGACCTTTAACTGCATCGTGCCGTAGTTTCAACAGTGTATTCTTTTTTTATGCGTTTTAGATCTTGAAGCTTAATGCCATTCTTATTTCGACAAGTTATTTTCTAGCTCTCTGGAAAGAGATGTCATGTAATTCCCATTTCAGTACATGTAAAAGGTTTTCATTATGCAAACTTTTGTGTCACGAGCTGTTTGAGGCACAAACCCCCTCTGTAAATCTGAGGTGGTGTGCGTCTATATTGCGAGTTCTGTAGGTTCTTGGATAAGGGTTTATTCTAACCTGTAAACACTGCTCTGTGGACTGATATCACACTCCGCACCTGTGGTGAGACAGAAGCAGCTCGCCTTATTTTGTAATTGGCAGGGTTTTAGTGTTTTTATCTGTGAAACAGAATTGGCAAAATACAAGGTTAAATGAGCGTTGCCTGATAAAAAAAACACTGACAAATCAAAAGGTAAAACACATACCGCAGATCTAAATGGTAAAAAATGCTGTCGATTTCTGTCCGGGAAACTGATAGGTGCCCGTCCAGCCCTGCTGGGATTTTACTGTGTAGATCGTGACGCGTGCATGAGGCTGCCGGTCCTGCGAATTAATGCGTCTTCCGCTGTCACCTTCCCCCGCCCCAGTTTGTTCACATCAACAACCTGAAACTCATCTGCCGGGCCCATCAGCTGGTCCACGAGGGCTACAAGTTCATGTTCGACGAGAAGCTGGTGACGGTGTGGTCCGCCCCCAACTACTGCTACCGCTGTGGAAACATCGCCTCCATCATGGTGTTCAAGGACGTCCACACGCGGGAACCCAAGCTGTTCCGCGCCGTGCCCGACTCCGAGAGGGTCATCCCCCCCAGAACCACCACGCCCTACTTCCTCTGAACCTCCTCTCTCCCCCTCAGTGCTGATTATTTGTCCCCTTTTTTTGTTTTTTTTTTTTTGTTTTTTTTGGCTTGGAAAATAAGTTATAATCAAGATCTTAATTTTTCTTTTACGTTGTTCTTTTTTACTTTAAAAAAAAAAGTGTTAATAAAACCTTAAATACCTTGGAAAAGACTTTAAAAGTTTATTGAAATGTTTTGGAACTAGATCTTAAGATCTGGGCACCTTCCCTGTCGGATTTGGTGTACACTTTCTTTTTTTGATGTTTTTTTTGTGCACATTTTGCAATAATAGATGTATTTGTAAACGCATTACTCCCCACGTTCGTATTGGACAGCTCTGTCAAATGGAACGTAGTAGACCTTAAAAAAAAAATTATGATCCACACACATTTGTGAGGACAAGGTGACCATATCTATTGATTATAGGGTTATACATGCTGTATGGTCCCTAGAATCTTCATTCTTTTGTCAGAACTGTTGTACACCTGATGCTTAACTTGTCAGTGAATGTTCTGATACTTTCTGGACCAGCCCTGTGTTACTGTGGGGGGTAATGTGTGAGAGTATCCCTTGTGCCACCTGTAGCACTGACACCGTTCCCTGTTGCTGCTTAATGAGTAGTGAAATTCCCGTTGGCTTTAAGGAATGTCATGGTGTATCCCATCTTCAGCCCAGCCTCCAGGGAAAAGGCTCAGAACACAGGCCTTCCCTTTCGTCCTCAACACTCGCAGGTCGACGTCTGCATCCAGAAGGTCCTTTGAATGCTGGTTGTACGTGGAGCAGCTCTTCGCCTTTGGCGTCTGGATGGTCACCTCCTGCACTGGGAGTTAGTGGGGAGACTTTAGGGCAGGTCTCCTGCTTGATTCCCCATGTTGTTGGGATTGTTAGAATCAGGAATGTTATGCAAGAGTCATTTTTCCGCCCGATAACGTTACTGTTCTTCTGTTTATTGGATATCTTACTGGGTCAGCCTTAAAGGAGCCGGCGCAGAAACGAGTGTTTTTACTTGTACTTTTAATAAGTAAGAGCTGTAGCTGTTTTGGATATGATCAGGCGAAATGAACACGATTCTGACACAACTGTGGTCATTTAAATGTTGACCATATTCTCGAATAATAGTGGATTTGGTTGGAGAGTAAAAGGTTGTGGATCCAGACCTTCATTTCCTGTGTTTGCAGTCAATTAATTGAAAGCAATCATTGCATCGATTTGAGGTTTTGTTTCTTAGCAGAAATGTGGGTCCAACTTTATATTTGGGTTCTCAAATGCCATTTATAATTTGTTTGAAAATGGCATCCAGTGAAAGTGGGGGTGCAGCTCTGGGGCCCTGGGGTGAGTTCTGGCTCTGGGGGGCTGTCTGTGTGGAGTTTGTATGTTCTCCCCATGTTCATGTGGGTTTGCGCCAGGTGCTCTGGTTGCCTCCCACAGTCCAAAGACATTCTGGTAGATGAATTTGCTCCTGGGGGAAAATGAGCCCTGGTGCTTGTGTGCGTCTGTGAGCCCCGTGTTGGACTGGTGTCCCATCCAGGGTGTACCCTGCCTTGCACCCATTGCTTGGCAGGATAGGCTCTGGCTCCCCTGTGGCCCTGTATTGGATGAAGCAGTAAGAAACTGGAAGAGTGGATGGCCCTGTATTAATTAAATTGTGAATAATTAAACTAATCTGATGATAACCAACTTGTGCTGTAGACTCATTCATTTTAGTAACAGAATCACAATCCTACACCCTTGCTTGAACCCTACACCTGATCGTATCCCCGGAGTTCTTTGTAGGAAGCTACTTGTTCCATTTCTAGTACTTTAGCAATATGTTTCCATTTCTTAATTGTGATTCGCAACCCCTTAAGCACGACCAGCAGTTTTACTTTGGTGTTACAAATTGGATCTCCATGTTTGTCACTGGGGGTTTTGTGTTTGTTCTGAAGGACGTGTACGATATGTACATTGACTGAAACGAAATCCCATCCTTCACGTCATTCGTTGACCCACAGTTGTGCTGTTGGGTATACAGGCCACTTGTAATATAAGGGCACCAGATGTGATCATTTTATAAAAGCTGTCGCTCAGCAATTTACAGTTTAATGAATGTTTTTCGTAGCCGGGTGTAAACACTTTGCTGGAGTCACGATGCACAGAAATGTTTGAGAACGGCGAGGAAAAATATTTTGACTGCTGGTCATCTAGAACAAAGTAGTGCAATAGTACAGTCTGAACAGATTTCCCCAGACACGATGACAAATTAATCTTGCTGGCAGTTGGATGAATTCCGAAAGGAATGGCATTTAATTTCCTACTGTTCAGTATGGTACGTGTCTTACTGCAGTCCTCGATTTATTGAAGCCGTCTTGGGCTGATGGAGATGCTGTCAGCCCTAAAGTGTTTATGATTGGAGCACTAAAAATATATTACAAGCGAAGGGAGTGGAGGAGCTGTAGGCTGCAGGCTCAACGGCAGACTCATCCCCTTGAGTGCGAAACTGGATGTGTCCCCTCAAGATCCACGAGGGCCGCCCAGGATGAAAAACACAAATGTCTTTTAAAAACAGGAGGACAGTGTGGCTTGTTGCTCTATGACTCTTAATTTAAATAACGTCAGGAAGCCTAGTAACTAGCCAGCAGCCATATCGCCCTACAAGTCAAAAGTGGCAGCCCCACTGGAGCTCGGCAGGTGTGAGCCTGGGCATTGCTTGGATGTGTGACCTCCTGGGAAAGCTGAGGTTGCTACTGGAAGAGGTGTTAGTGGGGCCAGTAGGGGGCACTTACTCTGAGGTCTGTGTGGGGTCGGATGTCCCAGTATAGTGACTAGGACACTATACTGTAAAAAGGTGCTGTCCTTCAGGTGAGATGTTAAATCGTGGTCCTGACTTTCTGCGGTCATTAAAAATCCCAGGGTGTTTCTCAAAAAGAGTAGGGGTGTAACCCTAGTGTCCTGGCCAAATTTCCCCCTGCCGGCTGCGGGATTTGAACCAGCAACCTTCCAGCCACAGGTGCAGATCCTTAGCCACAGAGCCAGTGCTCTGCAGGTTTCCAGTCCCTCACAGATCACTCACATCAGGGCCAATTTTCCCAAAAGCCAATTAGCCTACCAGCGTGTCTCTGGACTGTGGGAATTCGGGATGAACGTACAAACTCCACACAGATAGTGCCTCAGGAATTGAACCCAGAGCTACCACTGTGCTACCCTGCCACTCTTAAGCTATATAATAAATCTCATCGGCGTGGCTCTATGTTTTAAAAAAGTAGCATTTGTGTTCATTTGTTCTCCTTTACCTCACCGTGTGAGAAAGCCGCTGTGAAGAATAAATGCGATGGGACACTTTTCATTTCAAGTCTAGTAGTTTTCTTTATCGTTTAATTGCGTATAATAACAGCTGGTATTTTTCAGATAAGACTGGACCTCTGATCCTGCAGTACTGCTTCCAATCTAATGTTTCTCGATTATCTGTAATGTTATTTATAATGATGTACTTCTATGTAAAATGTTGAAAACCCCCAGCTCGGGAAAATACGCTGCTTTTCCTCCTTTTGACCACACGGCGGCGCTGTGCTGTCAGTGCAAGAACATCCCCTTGATAACAAACCTGACTTCTGGCGTCGACAACAGCCAACAGCCCCGGAGAGGGCGGGGCCGTCCGCCTCTCGCCGCCGTCTGATTGACAACCGGTGCACCAATCACAAGGGAGAGACGGCTAACCGACGTTGGGGAGCACCAATCCGCGGGCCGGAAGGCGGGTGTTCAAGCCTGCGTGTCAAGATAGGGTGAGTAACACTTCGCCGTCGCCTCCTGCCGCAGCTGGCTGCAACTGTATAACAGCCAAGTACATCTTGCACGGAAAGCCGCGTTTCCATCTGCAGTTTAAAAATATTTTTTACAAAAATCCAACGGAAGGTAGTTAACGACGATGCGACACCTTGCCATGCCCGAGTTTTAACGCGTCTCGTACGTGCCGAGAGCTGGCTACAGTTTCTGTGAGTAAAAGTCGACAACAGGCAGTGCTGCCTTTTGCACTGCTGTTTGGACGGCAGGGCTGCTTTGCAACAGATTGGAATAGCGTCTGGCCAGCGCCAGAGCATTAGCTCGTAGGCGAGGGCATGTAACACAGAACGTGAGACTTTTTTTGTTGTTGTTGTTGTTGTCTTGTAGCAATGCATTTTCTTGTGTGCAGACGTGAGACGCGCCGGCACTCTCTGCCACCCTCTCCCTCTCCCTCTCTCTTGACGTTTCATTGGCTCGCACGGAGCCGAGAGGAGAGGGCATACGCCGGGGGTAACCGTACGGAAAAGGCAGCCGTAAATCACCGCCGGCTCGGACTGGCCAGTCGTTGTCGGGCCCCCATCCTCGGGCGTGATGGGGACCGTGCCCCTCCGGCTGGTCCAGCCGAGTCGCGTCTCTGGTTGAAAATCCGCCAATCAGTGCGGGGTGTTTCTGTGTTCACAGCTGGAGGCGAGGTCCCCGAAGGGCGCTCCCGACTGCATCCTGGAGACCTGCGCTCTGCTCGCCCCTCAAACGCAGTGAGTCTCGCCGTCTTCAGCGGTGCCCGTCCGGTTGTGCAATGCAATGCAATGCAAATGCAATGCAAATGCAATGCAACAGGGGAGGCGGGGGGACGGACAGGATAGGTACGGGGCGACATCACCTTGCGAGGCGGCTGCTGAACCCGCGTTGTGAGCCGCGGCATGGCAGGCGTGCGCGGCGCGGCGTGAACGCACCGCTCCTGGATAGCAAAAGGGGAGGGAAAGGGAAAAAAAAA